GTGTGTGTGTGTGTGTGTGTGTGTGTGTGTGTGTGTGTGTGTGTGTGGTTTCAGGTGGTGTGCCGGTTTCTGTGTGAAGAGGCCACTGAGACTCTAACAGAAAAACAGTTTATTCCTGCTGTCCGGAAATTCATCATCAAACATCTTCTAGCAGGTTTTTCTTCCTTAAAAAGTTTCTCAAATCATTTCTGCCAGTTTTTTTTTTTTTTTATCTCAGCCCTCTACAAAATGTACAAAATGTGTGTGTTCTCCAGGTAGACTCAGGCACGCTGAAGTGTTGTCATCTGACCTTCAGAAAAACTCTCTGGCTGCTTTTCTAAGACTTGGAGCTGTTCAGAAAATCAAAGGGTATGTTGGTTTTGATCATTCTTGAGTCCCTGGTTGGTCTTCTGATACAACAGCCAAGCTAAAAATACAACACTTTAGTGACCGTTATACAGCATATTAATGAGGGAAGACCTCCCTGAGTTTAATACCACACAAGGTGTGATACCTTTTAGCTTAATTAATGGTTTCATGTGTATGATTATAGTGGTCATTATATCCAATATATCATATTAACATAGTGTATTGTCTCATTTTTGGCAAATTAATTGCACTCAAAATACAAGTGCATGAAAGTGGAGAGAGCGTCTGTAACCATAACTGTACAAAAGCGGCATTTAAGAGGTGCTGGATTATTTACACAATATTATCATATGTGTATTATAAACATGTAATATATCAATATTTCATTTTTGAATGTCACGGTTATTGTCAATACCGGTATATTGCAACATCCCTACATGAAGGCTTAAAGTTTGAGGTGATTTGTTCAGCTTTTGTTGTCTGACTGAGCAGTGAATACTATTTCATTCATTGGTCATAAGAAGTAAGTTTCTTTGGTACATTTGTGTCAATTCAATCAAATTTATTTCGGGACAAATTTGACTCAAAGTGCTTCACAATCTGTACATCATAAAACACTCTTCAATGATTTAAAAAACAACAACAGCAGTGCATTCCTGTCGTGCGTTTTTGGAATTTGCATCAGAAGGAATGTAAACAGCAGCGACTAACGAGTTCTCTGGGCAATATAACATTTTACCATAAAGAATTGACACCAAGGAAACTGAGTCCATCAATTTTGAGCACCAAGCATCATTGATTTTGTTATATAAGTTCATATGAATTATATATGATATGATTTTTTTGTGTGATGGAGGGTCTAATGTAGAAAACCACATACACACACACACACACACACACTAATAACATCAGCACACAGCTCCAAAGTCTTCCACAAACACACACACACACACACACACACACACACAGTGGAAGCGTTCATTGGTTCCTGCTGTTTTGATTTTATGAATTTTACCCATTTTCTTTGTCATCATTACTTGATGCTTTGGTAATAGATTCTTTGTTACACTCACGCCAGTAAAGCTGATCGTTTTGAATTGAGAGAGAGACATTGAGACGGAGAGAGAGAGGGTCAGAGTTTGGGTTTTATTTACTCTGGATAATCAACAGAAAGCACCGGTAACCTTTTTCTCTGGAGCTACTTTAAAGCAAAGAAATAGTCCCCATGAACTGAAACTTGATTTTGTACTGACAATAACCACTCAATGTTTTTACTCCAGTGTGGATCAGGGGATGTTAAAGGTGAACAAGGTGATGGTGAACTCACTGGAAGACACTCTAGGTAAGAAACAAAACCCCAGCAGGAATACATTAAGTTTTTCTTGCTCTACGAGGAACCTTTAAAACAAATCTCAAATGTGTGTCTTTTGTCTAGGAGGAAAACTGCCCACTCAGAAAGCTTTCGCCGCTCGCCTCTAATTCAGCAACCTCGTTAGGCAGAAAGGGGATTGAGGAGTGTTGATCATTTTTTTTTTTTTTACCTGCATCCAACGATGTCTCAGCTCTTCTCTGCGTGGTCGGCCCGGTTCAGCCAAACGAAAGAATTGCCACCTGGTGACAGCTTGATTAGTTTTCTTTAATTTCACTATCTTCTCGTCACCTCTTTTCTCAATATGCTCCTTTTCTCTCTCTCTCTCTCACTCTCTCAGATCTTTCAATTACAAAAAGCTTTTATAAATGTTAATAAAGCCAGATGACGAGTAAGGCCTGCGCAGGTTTATCGGCAAGCTCTTTGCGTCATTATGAAAATCTGACCTTTTGCTACGAGCAGCCTCGTGAAAGCTTCTGAATGTGCCAACTCCACTCAGGGTAGTGGCCGTTCCACATTAATGCATTTGATGAGTATCCTCTAACACTCAGTGTGGCTTTTCTTTGTGTTATTCTTTTTCATGTCTGTCTGTTTATCAGCTGTTAGACTTGTCTCTCTTATTTTGAGCACTTTAATGAATTTATTCATGCAATGTGTGGAACTATGTGCTAACACTCTTCTGACACACTGTTGCACAAAAAAAGAGAAAGCAAAGGTTGCTTAAAATCGGTGGATTTAAAGATTTAGTTGGTTACTTGATTTAGCTTTTGGTTAAAAACCTTTTCTGTTGTGCTGTTTGAATGAAAGAGTTTATATATTTGAGATGAACTTGCCACAGACCCAATGCCTACTTCAAGAAAAGCTTGTTCAAGGTGTCATTGTTGGATTTAAAGCCACCCTCTGGCCTTTTGCCAACACACAAAGGCTCTCATTCGTCTTTGTTTACGCAGTGGAGGTAACGCTACAAGCGTAACACTACTGTTGCATAGTTGCCAAACTCCATATAAAATGGCAGTTCGTTGTACCGAAGCACTACCAGCTACACCAAAGGAACAAGTTTGAAGTTTTGTTTCACGGTTGCAGATAATTTATAGATTTTCTCGTTGAGTCTAGAATAGTTACTGATTTGAATTCAGAATATATAAAAGTTTATTTGTATTCAGAGCGATACACACTTGATGTAGTTTTGTTACAGGGGACGGGAGGGAAGCCAAAATAATGTCAAATGTGAGCAGCAGCTGAAAGACAGAAACTCAGACAATGCTAATAAAATGCAACTGAACTGGAGGAATAACGAGTTCGGATTTAATTTAAAAGTATCAGACCAATGGGTGAAATGCTCAGGTTGACTTAGTTAACATAAGAATAACATTAGACATGTTGTTCAGAATTGTGTAATTTACAACAGATTTGGGGTTTTATAGAAATTGGCAGAAAAAGCCACTTAACTTGCACTATGCCAGACAAGAACGTAGGTTACATTTTGTTTCCTTGGCTAGAATTCCTGGCCCCCCAAGTAGGGCTGGGGTATTGCTTGAAATATTTTTTTATTGTTGCCAATATGATACCTGAGTTTTAGAGATAAAACTTTTTTAATACGGCTCCTAAAGAAACATACTCCTCTCTTTAAAGGGCCACTGTGTAGCATTTCAGGGGATCTATTAGCAGAAATGGAATAACATTTTCATAATTGTTTTCTTTTATTGTATAATCACCTGAATCATTTCAATATCCCAAAGCAGTGTTTACACGGGAAAGCTGTTATGTCATACCCATGGAAGTCTGAGTTAGCCCCAAAACTGTTGAAGCAGAACTCTAATTCCTCTGTTAAATTGTTAAAATCTTTGCTTTCTGAAGGACTGTAGTAGACTAGTAGTTTCCTACTTTCCTTAAAATAAAAGGGCTTCCCCCGTTTGCTTCAAGGATTCCAAATGATCATGACTAATACAACGGGGGAAGATGGCCGACACTACTAAGTGGAGTTCTTCATCTTCCATTTTGAAACCAAGCCTATAAAATCTCACACTTCACAATCAAGTGATCACAACAATAATACAAGTGCCACCTCCAGCTTTCTTTGATCGCCAAATTTGCCTGACAGTAAAGTTGTATGTTTTGAAACTTGACACAACTCGCTAAAGTAGCTCAGCAGCTAACAAACGTTTGTAGAACAACAATCTGCCTGTCAAAACGTGTCATTCAAAGTCTACCGTCTACGGTTTTTATACTGTATAATGTCTAAATATTTGACTCCTTTGTGACTGTGTGTGTGTGTGTGTGTGCCTTTTAGTACAGACTGTACAGGTAGATCAAAGCATGTTAATAAAGTGTTTTTGAAATACAAAATTTCAGCCCAGATTGCGTCTCTTCTGTAGGTAAACTGGAGTCAAGCTGCTCACATTGATTAAAATTCACTCCATCATTCTATTACATCCAATGTTTGTTTGATAGTCAAACCTCTCGTGACAGACGGCTCAGAGAAACAGTTTGATTAAAACATGATGTGATCATAGTCAATAATGCTGATGATGTGTTTACTCAAATGAACAGAGAAAATCTTGAGTTTTGGAGAATTGGCCCCTGGTCAAGGATTTGGTGCTGAGTTTAGGAGCCACTGTTTGTATCTTAGCTGTTTGCCAATTGTTTCCAAACTGAAACCACTGATGAATAACCAGTGGTGGAAGAAGTATTCAGGTCATTTACCGAAGTAAAAGTACAAATGCCGCACTGTAAAAATACTCTACTACCAGTGAAAGTCCTGCATTCTAAACCCTTATTTAACTGCTTGCACCAAAATTGTAGCTCCACATTAGCAGACCCACGAGGATTTTATGTTCATTACAATGGCGAAATTCTTTTGATGGGTGAAAATGTTTGAAACACTGTAAATTTAAGATTTTTACCACAAGTGAAGCTAAAAACTGGACTCAACTTTTACCACTCTAATCTGTACTTCAGTTTTAACTGGATCCTGAACGCTAACATGCTAACTCTAGCATGTTAACAAGAATTTGACCAACCAATGGATTTGAGACATGCTGGTATTTATTATGTATTTTTTCGACATGTTAACAGTTACATGTCTCTACTGTGTATGGTGACATAGTATTTTTGCAAGTTAAGAGCTCTTACATTAGCATGCCATGCTAGCACTAATGTGTTTTGAAGCCTTGAGTTCGGCGATTTCACCATCGCCATCTTGGATTACGGTCGTCGCCATGCTGTTTTTTTTGGCAACCAATGAACAGAAGTGACTATATTTGGACTGTGGAGGAGCGACGTAGAGACGCTGTATAAGTCTCTGGGAAGAGACCTGTCAATCACAAGGTAGCCCCGCCCTAAAGCATACCCTACTTTATGGTCTATTTGACTCTAAATGGACCATAATTTACTAAATGAACATCATGCTGTATTGAAGACGACTTGAAACTAGAGATTGAGACCATAAACTCATGTTTACAATGTTTACTGAAGGAATAAATCAAGTAAGAAGTAGAGTCATTTTCTCATAGACTTCTATACAACCAGAGGAGTTGCCCCATGATGGACATTAGAGATAATGCAAGTTTTTAGAAACTTCCACATTAGCTTCAGGTTGCCGCCTGATATAAACGTGAGGTTGATGCTCAATAAAAAAGCACAGAATAACTGTCTTTGGCTTCAGAGTAGCAGCTGACAGGCAAAGGCGCACTCAGCTGAAAAACCAAGATGGCGATGGCCCGAAAAAAAATCTATGTATACAGTTTTCACTGGACAGACGGAATGCAATATTGAATCCTAACTAAAGCACTCAGACAAATGTAGCGCAGTAAAAAGTACAATATTTGTCTGAGATAGTGATGTAGAAGTTTAAAGTTGCATAAAATGGAAGCATGTATACCTAAAATATGTATGTATGTACAGCAGTTGAGTAAATGTATTTAGTTATATTCCACAACTGCAAAAAATTGATGATGTAGCATGGTAGCATATTCCACAAACAATAGAGTTGGTGAGAAATCCCAACATAAAAACGTCCTCTAGGTGTCAGACTTGCCTCTCTTTGAGCCCTTTGTTCATGGCAGGTTGATGATGTGTACACACACACACACACACACACACACACACACACACATAAAATCACAGCAGCACTTTTCATCATGTTTTGTGGCTCTGCTGCTGAATAAGAGACTGCTGCCAGCAAATCCACCACTTTCCATCCTTATTGCCCTTTCTCTCACACTCACTCAGTATCTGACAAATTATAGGTTCATCTAAAGTTGCCATACCAAATTGCTTATATACACACACTCCAGTCCATCCATCCTTCCGTCCATTTATTTCATCCTGCTTTCTCCTTCCCTCCATCCATATCCGTCTCCCTGGTGGTGGTGTATAATAGTGTCAGCCACAGCCATATCAGCATTTTACCTGTTACATTATGACAAGCTATATGGAAGGGGGGGGGGGGGCACATGTACACGCGCATGCACTCCCATACACACATACAGGAGGGCAACAGCCTAATAAACTACTTCCTGACCCATGGCAGCCGCTGGGACACGAAGGCAGCAGACAGAAGTGCATTGTATTTAGTTTTGTTCCTTTAAATCTGGTCGGTGTTATTGCTTTACTTTGTCTATTTGTGTGTGTGTGTGTGTGTGTGTGTAGGTGTAGGTGTAGGCGTGACTGAGTGCTCTGGTGTTGTGCCCAGAGGGGTTTGTGGAGGTCTATATGTTGGGAATTGATTGAAAGAGAAAGGGACCCTGGTGTATAATGTTTCAGCAGTTAACCTTAGGTAATGGTAGGTTGATGGATTCAGCTCATTTGCTGCAGCAGATCCTGTTTATCAGCGCTGTGCTGAAGGCTGAGACATTTACATACAGGAGGGGGAAGCAGCACTTAAACCTCAAATTTGGGGGCCTGGCAGGGATCCCTGTGGAGAGTCCAGGAGATCCCAATTACTACACATTTAAAGGTTTTCTCAATCTAAAGTCTACCGGCTGAGCTACTATTTCATCATCAAAACATCAGTATTCTCCCCTCAAACCACTCATCTCATTGTTCGTCGACAAGTTCCAGAGGACAGAAAAGTACTCTAAGAGCCCGCCTTCATAGGTAAAGACTCTTCAAACCTCAGCAATTAAACATCATCCATGAATTACACAGGAATTTAGTATTGAGTCCCAGCAGTTTGAAGCAAATTAAACTTTCCAGCCAGCCAAAAAGCGAGTTAATCTGCTCGCCATTTGTTTTTTCTCTTGCTGTTTTTCTCAGGATGTGCTGGTCACTGAAGTTCTCACTTTATTTAGGATAACCGCATTCTCGTAAAGGCTGCAGCCATGGGGACAATTTGATGCCTCAAAATGTTCCATGAGATGACAATTATTCCTTGTAATGGATATTTTATGTAGAGAAAGCAGAAATTATCACCTCTGCGTATTGTTCTCCTTGTACTGGTGAAGAGTGAGGTTGTGTGGCATGAAGGGATGAGACCTATCTGCGTATTTACATTTTCTGCTACTTTAAACACTAATTCAGATGGAAATGTACTTCTTTTTCTCCACTGCAAATACCTAACAGGGGGTATTACTTCAAAATATAATGTATTGATAAGGATTAAACCACAGGTTCTGAACCGTTTTGCCTTGTGACCTCATACAAGAATCTGTGTCTATTTTGACCTTCGTCAGATGTTCCACCAAAACGACATTTCTCCTCAAACCCCTCCAATGGTTTAATTTTAATTAACTGTTTGAAGCCAAAAGAGATAACATTATCAGATATTTTGCCAAAAAAGAGCTAAGATTGTAGAAAACATGAATACGAATTTGTGTATCAGAACTTTTTCCCCCTTATTTCCTCTCCCACTAATCATCTCAGATTTATCTTGTGACCTGTTAGAGGGGCCCCGATCCCTATGTTGAGAACCACTGGACTAAACCAAACTGTCGATACACTAGCTCGACCAGCAACAGTAAAATGCTGCTTTAATTATCAAAAACAGATACTTGACCAATTGTACGCAGAGTAAGTACATTTATAATGCATAATGCATATTCAATCCAGTCGGATAAGATCAGCAACTCTGGTCACAAATTAGACATTGAGGGCAAACAATATGTGTTAAGTGATATAATTATAGTATTCTTATCCACCATTATTGTTAATGTATTCATCTTTTCTATTGTATAATACATCAAAGATAAGCTCTTCTAAGATCAGCGATGAGTGCTGAATGAAAACATTTGCATTTTTAAATATGTTTGCAAAATGCAGACATGCATGGATAATATTTTATGGTAATGTCTGCAATTAGCCATAATTTGATTTCCCGTTCACATCTCCCAACACATTTGCTTTAAACTTTAAAATCACAAACACACACACACACGCACACGCACACACACACACACAAGCACACACAAGATGCATACATCTGCACACAGGAGTGCTCCTATGTGCGCACACACACACACACACACATTCACAACTATTCCTCTCATTATCTGGGAGTCCACGAACTGCCAGTTTTTGACACCAATGTAAATAATAATCCTGTGATTGATGCTGCTGTGAAGTGAAAGCTTGAGGAAGATTGAATGAAATCCAATAGAATCTAATTGAAGTGGCATGAGAGAAGTGGCATGTGTGTGTGTGTGTGTGTGTGTGTGTGTGTGTGTATTTATACACATATAGTATAGAATATAAAAACAAGTAAAAAAAAAAAAAAAGATATAGTATGTCATTAAAAAAGCCACAGTATAGTATGTCAAAAATGTGAAGTTTTTTTAAGATAAGTCATTGTATAGTATGATGAAAAAAGTAGTAAATAAAACATTATAAATGCTATGTAATGAATGTCAAAAAAGTCAAAGTATAGTATGTCAAGAAGTCCAAAAAAGCATGTTGAATAACATCATAAAAACGTCATACTGAAAAATGTCATACTAAAAAATGTCAATAAAAAGTCTTACGAAAGCATGTTGGAAAATGTCATAAAAAGTCATAGTATAGCATGTCAACATAAGTCATAAAAAAATCATAGTATAGCATATCGATAAACGTCATAGTATAGTATGTCAAAAAAAGTCAGCGTATGGCATGTCGAAGAATTCATAAAAAGCCACAATATAGCATGTTGAAAAAAGTCATAAAAAAGTCACAGTATAGCATGTTAGTAGTTAGTATACTATGCCAATAAAACTCAAAATAAGTAGCATTATAGTGTGCAAAAAAAGACAGTTTAGTATTTCCAAATTAGTCACAGTAAAGCATTAAGGACAAAGTCATAGTATAGTATGTCGAAAAAAGTAGAAAAAAGTCAAAGCATAGAATGTTGAAAAAATGTCTAAAAATATTTAAAAAAAAGTTACAGCATAGCCTGTCAAAAAAAGAAAAAAGCCATAGTATGTTGAAAAAAAGTCATAAAGAAAGTTGAAAAAAGTCATGGTATAGTAATTCGAAAAAAGTTGAAAAAAGTCTTTGTACAGCATGTCGAAAATAGTCATAGCATAGCATTCAGAAAAGTTATGTTTTGTCTGTCGAAAAAAGTAAAATAAATCATTGTATAGAAAGAAGAAAAAAAGTCATACCATAGTAATGACTTTTTTTCAAAAAAGCATAAAAATGGAATCTAAAATGGAAGGCTTAAAGCACGCTACAACTTGATTAGTCTCAATCACGCTAGTCTTTTTCCACTCCTCCGACTGACATTTTTCCTTCAGGGCATATATGGTATAAAGTTTCTAGTTAGTGACCTTTATTTTACATTACTTTTCACAATCCATTCTGGGATACTTTGAGTCCACCATGTAGTGCACTACAAAACAGTGAACTTACTACATAGTCCGCTATATGTAAAAGATCTCAGAGACAGCCTTGGTCTTGTTATATGAATAAAGCGCCTCAGAATAAGAACTAAAAAGCAAAACAAAACACAAAACAAACCACAAAATAAAAAAGACAAAGTGAAACAATCTTGTAGAGTTTCTGTATGTTAGCTCGCCACAAATTCTCAGTTGCAATTTTCAATCGCAAGATCTTCCTGAACAAATTATACGGAGCATTTTAGGAGCATCTCGTATTTGTTTGCTTCGATGTTTGTTTTGAAAGTTCCCTCTCGACCTCTGAAACTGCAGTTGACAAAAGAGTTACCTGTCTAACAGTTCTTCCA